AGAAATAAGAGTGCTTGCTTGCTTTTTATTTTTTTGGGGTTTTTTTTTTTTTTTATAGTATTGCTATTGGCACTGTGTAAGAAGTGATTTGTTTGGCTGTGAATCTGAAAAGAGAAATTACCTTTATTTAGCAGGTCATCCTTCACAAATGCTAGAGTTCAGCTGAAGTGAAATTATGCTCTGGTCAGTTGCTCTCAGAAATGCCAAGATCCTTTAGAAACCAAAATTTTTAAATGCTGAAATACTGCAGGATAATGCCTAAGTTCCATATATGCTTACTTTGTATCCTGTGATGGGGAAAATACTGAACAATTTGGCAAATCCTTTCCAAAAGACTAATTCCTGTCTTTAGTAATTCCAGTGTTACTCAATGCACAGTTCCCTGGCAGTGCAGTACAATTCCCTGGTGTCTCAGAGGGCAGAATGTGCCACTTTATATTTTATATTAGATAGCATGGATGGATACTTTAAATATCCCCAGATTCAGTTCCAGTTCACACTTTAGATTAATAAGGCTGAAAGGAATTCAATTTTTCCACTGTTTTTTTTCCACTCAGTGTGGTCCTTTCCTCAGAGCATTCTTGGTTTTAATTTTTAGTTCTCAAATATTATCCAGTGTCTCCCTGGCTTCACTTTTCTCTGTAGCAGTAACCCCTCCTGAGTCTCTGTGATTCCTTGCTTTTGCTATGCTGGGAAAGTCAGAGGGCTACAGAAATGTGTGCCCAGGCAGAGAAAGGCTGAGATTCTCTGTGTCATGGCTGAATGGTCTATTACAATGGGGTGGCTGTATGAAAAAAGCTTCTTCCATTTCCATGTCTTTTTAAAAGAAAAGAGTGATCTCTCTTTGGCCTTGGAAGGAATTCAGACATTAACTATGAGGAAATAGTTCAGGCACCAGACACAGGGCAAAATTATGTAGCGCAAATGGCCAAGGCAACTCTGGAGTAAGAGAGTCTTTACTGACACTCTGGTGTCTGCACAATCCCTTTCTTGGCACTTGAAAACCCTTTTTCTTGGTATCAATTTGTCTCTCAGGTACTCTTAAGAGAGGCCTGAGCTGTCTAAAACACCTTGAAGACTTTGCCCCAGGAACCAAAGTCTACAAGACAGGTATTGAAAAGCTGAGCAGAGTTACCTTTGTCTTCCTCTCTGAGTGTCTTGTTCTTCAGGACATGTTTTTTTGTCATAAACTCATTTCACATTTTAGATTTAAAATCTACCATGATTGTTTTCATGTTTGATGCTTCAGCATGTTCTTGAAGGATGATAGATAGTCCTTTATACTTGTTTCAAAGATCATGCAAATCTTTTATGGCTCTGAATGACACATTTCAGCTTTTGTAGCTCTAGAAATAGAGTTCCAACTTAGAAATAGAGTTCCAACTCTGGAAAATATATTTCTTATTCCCTTAAGGTACAACCAAGATGATTGCTGGTGATACAGCAAAGCCTTTTCTTTGATTCCATTATAATAACATGTATTATTGATCTAAGAAGAAACCAGTATAACCTCAGAGTGGAAGACAAACAAAATTATCTTCACAAGAGTGGAACAAAAGAATAGCCCTTGCCTTGGTGTGTTTGCAGTGTAAGTACTCTAGAAACACATCACACATGACTGATGAGTATAGGAAAAAACAAGGGACCTGTTCTGTCAGCACACTCTGGCTTAGCACAACTGCCCGGCCCTGAGCCTGGAAAAAGCAGAGAGATGACAATCAACTTCCCCCCCCCCAAAAAAAAAAAACACCAAACCCCAAAACAACAACAAAAAAACCCAATAATTGGATAAGGAAACAGGCTTTTTGTACAAATGGTCACTCAGTACTGCTGATCTCCTGGGCATGTGAGAGCTCCTGGGGAAAGCTGTGGGAGTCAAGGCCATCAAAAGTTTGCTGGCAGCAATAAAACACTACTGCATGCCAGAATGGATCCAGCTCATTAACAAACTTCATGGACTGTGAGGAAGAAGGACTGGAAATCCCAGGCAGGCATAGGCTCATCTGGCAACATGCAACCAGAGAAGAAATATTTCATCCACCCAGGCTCTGGTGTCAACACTTTGAGGCTGAACTTACCATAACTGACTATATGGAAAAAAGCATTCACCAATTAGGAGCTAACTTACAAATCCATGAAACATAAGAGACTCCAAAGCAGATGTCTAAAGATGGCAATCCTGCTGTATTCCAAAAGGACAGCTTGCTTGCCATGCCAAACATGAGATCTCTGTTTTCCTTGGGAGTAATCATGATTACAATTCCTTGAAATGCCTGCCTGTGGGAATTAAAGGACAAGAAGGAATTAAGGGTTGGACTCCTACTGAGGTGGTGAGACACTTGTTGTGTGGGATAATCTTTTGAAGGCTGAACCTGAAGCAGAGAAAAAAAACAGCCGAGTGCTCATACTTAAACTTCAACACTAGGGGAAATGTTGTGGTGCTTTATTAAGAACAGAAGACAGGAAAGTGGAATCTAAATATTATGTAAATAATGAGGAAGACTGAAAGAGAAACACAAACCAAGCAAACAATGAAACATATTAGTAGGAAAGAGAAGGTGAGAGGTGATGGTGACCCAGCTAGTGAAGAGACCTCTTTTGGTCTGTTGAGATTCTATAGAAAAGGATTTCAGAACATGAAATGGGCCCCTCAAAAGCAAAATGATGAAGATGCTTTGAAGTGAGGCAGAAAACATGCACAGAAATCTACTTCACCTCAAAAAATACTTTTATAAAACTCAGCAGAAGAGAACACCTTTAACTGAGATTGACATTTGTGTCATCTCCATGGGCTAGAGTTAAGATCAACAAAACAGTGATAAAGGATCACAATGCTAAAAAGTAAACAACCCTGTCTTCCTTAAAAGAGAGGGACAAACCCCCACAAAACAGACTAATACCACTGAAATGTTTTAATTGTGAGGAGAAAAAATCCTTTCTGAGCAGTGAAAATAGGGAGTTGTCTAAAAACTAAGCAAGCTGCACAAACTGGACATGAGTCACACTACTGCTAAAGTGAAAGAGTTTCTATGGTATGCAATATCCAAAGGAAATATGTTTATAAAGATTATATATATATATATATATATATATATACATATATATAGAACATCTTTATAGTACATATCAGCATATAAGAATATGGGCATGGCCGACTTTCCATCTGTTTCAGCAGACGGTAAGGTTTTTTAAAATAAAGGACTGTTTCTGTTTGAAGAATATAACAAGGCAAACAGCAATTCTATCATTTTACCCTTGCCCAAGATGCTCAGTTTGCTTTTTCCTTGTTCCTGTCAAACAAATTCAGGGCTCAATCCTTAATTTCCTCTTTCCTTGTTCATGTCAAACAAACTCAGGACCCTGGTACGTAGCTCAGTCCTGAGATGTCCTGCTCCAGGAACTCAGTAAATAGAAAAGATGGAGCAGCAATAACAGGTTATGCAGTGTCTTCACAGGGCAAACCAGGGGCTGGGACACGCAGGGAGCGAGGGTCAGAGCAGAGTCCCGTATCGCCCTCGCCATCCCCGGGTCCCTGTGCCGCTCTGGCCGTGCAGGGGGAGAGTTCAGCTCTGCAAGGGATGCGGCAGAGCGGGGACGCGATGGCACATCCCTTGTGCCGCTCTCCCGCTGCTTTTTCGCTGCGCGAGTGCCTGGGGAATGCTGCCCCGGCCAGGGATGCAGCGGTACATTTATGGCAAGGGGTTAGAGCTGCGGCTGCGGCTGCGATCCCGGCCCAAATCAGGAGAGGGGAGCGCCAGGGGGGATCGCTGCCCCTCGGGGCTGTGCCCTGGAGCCCAGCACCGGCCTTTCCACCGTGCCCCGGACACCCACCCTGGCAGGGCCCG